CGAGATGCTGCATGCAAGTAGAAGGTTACAAAGGCTTCCTCATTTTCGGATAACTCCCGAGATTATTTACATCATTTGATACGTACATTGATACACTTGACTAATACAAACCTGACAAAAAAGGTCGTCGACATATTTATCATGACATAAGTAGTATCTGTATGCACTATTTTACAAAATTGCTGATTCAAAGGGATTACCTCATCCGTCTCCACAAGCTTATCCTGACATCCACGCAGCTGCTCTATTGACTCCGAAACTTGTCGCTAATCGAAGACCGCTGGAACCCATTGGGAAATAGCTGACCAGATACCAAGTCAAGCATATTATTTGAATAATGGCCGAGATCAAGGTCAACGGCTTGCTTCGAAGCTACACGCCATATGTTATTAGAAGATGGTGAGGAATCATATTTCGGAGAAAACGCTTACACCTAGACTGAAATATAGGGTCAACCCGATGGATCCAAAATAGGTCGTGGTAAATGGAAGGCGTGGCGCTGATATCAGGTGGCTAATGTACGTCCACGGGCCCATCATTGCAGCCCATGATGCGAGGAATAACGTTGAACCTAAAGTCCATCTGGTTGTCACACGCTCCAAGTCAGTTCTGAGGGTGTAGATGTATGAATCATAACTTCGTAATCGTTCAATATCTCAAATCATTCATTAATACTTGAGTAGTATCATGAGTGATCGACAAACTTAAAAACTCCATACACAATGCCCGACGGGTAGTTGCATGGAGGCGAAATTGTTGAAAAGTTGGAAGCTCTTCGACTCGTATTGGACCAAGCTTGCAGGGTGTGAGTTTAAAATAGCAAGGAAAGTGAGACTTACAGAATCGCAAACTTGGTTGGAAGAACAATCAAGTACGGGAATAATACGAAACAGATAACAAAGCAGGCCAATGCACCAATATTGAACCCAGCAAATAATAAAAGACGGTCCCACCTACTCACTGAAATATGGGAAAATGGAATAGTCAGCCCTCTAGATAATCAATTTTTGAAGTGATACGAAAGGGCCAGTCAAGCCACACTTAACACCACCAATGTACGTCGCACCAGATGGCAGCGGATGCAGGGACAGTGCAACGTGTGGGGAAATGGAAACGTTCGGTAGGTAGGTTGACTTACGGACAAACCATCCTTCTTCCTCTTCACGTCGATTTCGACCAGGTAGAGGCGCTCCCGCCCCCTCTGTGGTGGGCAGTCGAACATAGCCACTATCACCAAATGGATTTAACGATTTTATTGAAGATAGAAGGCCGCCGGTCTGCTGAGCGGTGTTGACGGGGAGGTCCGGGTCGCGACGTGACCACCCTAAGGAATTCATGGAATCTCTGAAAGAAGAGGAAGCCATTATTGCATTAATCCTATTAACCTTTCGGCAGTTGTATAGTATCAAGGCTCCTTTTCCAAACCCTTGTTATTCCTTTCCCTTTCGCAGATGCCGTAAATGTTCAAGATTCAGGTAGATGGTTGGGTGAGAGGAAAGGACCGGTGTGGGTATGGGCCGAAGAGATGTGATCGGTTCGGAGTATTTTGTTGAAGAAAATACGGCCGTTTATGTCCTACTCAGTATAATTCGTCTGCAGGTATGTCGTGCGTTAATCGACCTCGTGGAAATAATGCGACTGGTTTCCTTGCGAATGTTGAAAGGGGTGTCCAATGACCTCTTCGGCGAACAGGGTTATAGTTGAATAGTATATCTCTTTGCAATAAAAGATCTCCTCGTGATCAATGTAGAGGCTCTCAGAATGATGAAAGCTTTAGCTTCGAATAATGGATGTGTGATGAAGATGGAATCCGTGATTGGAGGAGAGTTGGCCGCAGTCAGCAGGAATGGGGGGAGGAAGGGGGGTGTGGTGTAGCTTCTAGGGATGATCGGAATGAAAGGGTAGCAAGAGCCTTCTAACTTTTATCTCCAGAGATATGCGATAAGCCCTTTTTGGAATGATTCATGGGTGGGATTTCTTTTATCGCAGATGGTGTGGTGGAAAAGTCAAGTTTAGTATTGTTAATAGGCAATCATGGGAAAGTCCATGAGGAGAAGTTGTCGGTTTTGACGCTAAAATGTCTCATATCATATGGCGCTAGTCGGTACGGGGACAGGCGAGCCAAATTAAAAGAGAGAGAAATTTAAAAGTACACAGACGCTTTTAACGAGTTAAAGAGTGATGAAATGAAAGAGAACATTTTTACTATAGTTACTAAGTCATGCAAATATCGAGCTAACCCAGACATGGTGAAATCCTGGGGAGAAGAAGAGGAAGGAGGCAAACCCATTTCATACTACACATTTATGCGCAAGAGGAGCTAGGAAAAAAGATACACTCATTAATAAATAGAATAGCATCAAAGTCTTAATACGGTAGTCTTTCTACAAGTACATGCCATATCCTACATTTCCCTATCTCGAGCCTTTTCTTGATCGAAGTACATCAGATTGTATTGTAGCCTATCTTCCGTATCCCTTTCCAAGACAACATAGGAATCTGTTTTATCTTGCATGCTTGCGTGTTGGTGTGTGGCTCAACTTCAAGACATTCGACCCCCCTCCATCTCATCTTTTTGTGCAGGGCAGTAAAATACCGGACATGGATTACTAGATCTGTTTATATTGTTTGGTCTGAATAAGGTTGTAGTGATGAGTAGGTAAGAGCGAAAAGGGTGTGAAGGGTGGTTCACCTAGTTTCGAGGAGGGTGCATAGTATGAGTCTTTCGTCTTTCGACACCATCTATTTCTAATATCGAGTGAAACCTTCCCCAACCTTCCCAAGCTTCCTATGAAAATCTTGGAAAACCTGGTAGAAGCTACTCTTCGGAGCTATCTCCTCCCTCCAAATTATTCGCGATTAGGGAGTTCCTCTTCTTTTTGATATAGGTCAAGTGGCTCAAGCCTGTACGTGTATGCATGAGAGAAAAGACATAAAAGGATATCCTCGCCTCCTGAACCTCTCAACTTCTTCCAGAGTTTCCCATCCCAATTCCAAACCTCCCAAATTCAAACTACCAAAGTTTGAGCCACAGTCTATCAATTCAGCCTGAAGCTCTTTGTATACTTGCACCAGCAGCTAAGTGAGGTTCAACAATCTCCCTCGACTTCAATCCACCCCTACCACCAACCACCAACGTAGCAATATTCATTATTCTAAGCCCAGGTTTACTACCTAGGTACATAGGACTACGACGCTTTACCTGAAATCTATTCCTTCTCCTCCAAGCGGGATTGGACTGAAGTGGATTGGATTGGACTACCTACCTGTTTTATCCCGTCTTACTCCATCCTGTAAGACTTTCGGCTTTCGGTTGTACCGTCTCATCTCATTTGCTTGAATTAACGGCCGAATTCCTAAAAGCCTCTCAAAAGTGGAAGCTTGCACCCGTTTCACCGGACAGGCTGAACTCATCTGAATAGACAAAACATCTTGCCGGTCTTCTTATCGGCGACATATCACATTATTGACTTTCTTGATCTCAATCCTTCACACGGAAACAAGGAAAACGAACCACAAATCTTAGCTCTTTTCGATGAAGATTCAGTCGCCATTGCTACCTTAGGATTCAATCATCTATCTACATAGGGACCCATACCAGATAAGGAACGGGTACTTGATCCTTCAAACCTTTCGTCGACTGCGACAGCTGTGACAATTGTGACAACTGCGAGCTTTTATACCCTAACATTATCGATTTTGTGGAGGAGATATCCATCTACTCCTTATCAATTATCAATTATCTACCCCGCTATCCAAAATAAACCAACACCCCTCCCCTTTGGAAGTTTCGCATCCCTTCCTCGCAAAGAGCTCCATGTTATTGGTAAATCCGGTACTTAACTCCCATTCCCTTACTTTTTTCTCTCCCTTAGTGTGAATTACCTAGCCTTGGTATATTCATTCATTTGTTGGTTCGGCAAAAGCCAAAAAAAGAAAACGCAAAAAGAATTCACGTATAACGTTGGACGACAATGAATAGAGAACTTTCTTTCTCTTCAACCAATCAGAAAACTAATCGAAAGTTATTTGTCCTACCTCTAGAAATTCCCATCTCTTCTCTCGGTCAAATTATTACACGCGAATACCTCATCACTCTTTGACTCTCATAATTGCTACGAGTTGAGAGAAGGTTAGGCAGGACAGGATAATCTCGAACGAAGCCGTCCTTCTATGTTAAACTACAACCACTATATCACAGACAGACAATAAGGCCGGTTTTTAGCCCTTATCGAGTTAGGAAATTTCGATACTGGTGGTCTGTTTCTGTCTCTTAAAAAGGACCCGAGCACTTCCTCTACAAGAAGTCGACTTGCACATAATCTATTGACTTGCCTTACCTCCTCTATACAGCTACAAACAAACGTCTTTGTACATCACCATCCATTGTACAGATCTCCATTAGCGGGTGATTTTCTTACTTTCCTGCGGAACAATAAGGCGATCGAATCAGAAAGAAATCGGATTCCCATGCGATAACTCACAGACTGACTTCCAGTTCTCCAATTATTAATAAATCACCGAAGATTCCATTTTATATTTTATTTTTAACATTTTGACATCGCTAGACGCGGTCCATTCGTCATTTATTTTACGCCAAGTCCCGAATTGACCGTCCCATCCGCCCCGGATTTCCAAGAAACAAGGGAAGGGAAAGGAAATAATTTTGGAGCACAACTTCCCCTCCTTTCTCCCTGCTTGCTCCCTATCGAATCGAATGATAAATAACCCGAAACTGTCATCCCCAAGCCAAATAATTCATTCAGGAAAAAAAGAAAAAAAAAAGGGTAAAAGGGAAAGCCAGCCAAACAACCAATCGCTCCAAGCTTGGAGAGGAATAAAGTCAAGAAGGGATTCAAATTATTCGAAACTGTCAAAGAAAGGGAGTACCGGTACGTACCTGGAGGGAAATTCTCGGTCGAGTTATCATCCATTCATTCTATTAGAATCGACTGGGAAGTCCTTACTTTTTCATCTTCATCGACTACGAGTACAACTACAACTACAACTACAACTACAACTACAACTACAACTACAACTACAACTCCATCATTTCCTCCACTAACTTCCTCCTCCATCCTCTCCTCCACATCTCCACCACCCACCCATTCCTCCATTTCAAGGATTAATAAATTTGAGCGCTTCAACAAAAAGCGACTCATACTAGGTAAGTCAAACCTGACACTACACTCAACACATACACAATACACCATCAGGTTCGCAATTAAATCTGCGCCTCAACCTCAACCTAGTACTATTCCATTCTAACCTTCACACTTTGACATTCAGGAAACCGAAACTCGAAATATCATTATTCAATTTTTATCCTTTTTCTTGCATTTCGCTGCTCCGGCGCTGAAAGATTTCAATAAAGGATATTTTTGGTTTTTATTATTTGATTTGATTTTCCATCATATCATCTACCTGGTGGTTATCCATCCCTCCTAAAGAACACTTACAGAACTTCTTTTGCTATCGATTTTTGTCTTCTTGTCACACACAAGATACTCATTCTCAACGAAAGGAATTAAATTTCTATCACCTCGTCAAATCAATCAATCAATCAATAGAAGTCACCCTGTGCGACCCTCGGCCATTGCTACCGAGAGTAAAAAAGTGAAAAAGGTTAATCCCCCCCCACCCACCGCCTTTCACCGAAATATCGTGAGTTATCCCACACAACGGCTGTTTTGGCACACATTCTTTTGGAAATTCTACTCCCCAATCATAACTTCTCCGCCTTTTTCTAGCGCACTCCTAGAAAAGGTAACCTTTCCTCCCCCTCTTGGGTTGACAACGCAATTGTTTCTTTCTAACTTTACCTCCATTCTATCTCTATACCTTGTTAAGAGTCATCAAAGGAAGAACATATACTGACGATCTGTCGGACAAGGCCCCCTCGCGATAATAAATCTACCACTTCGCCCTACCTACCTTATCAGCCAAATCAAAGACCGGATTGGTCTTGGTCGTCGTGGCCTATTGTCCAACAACAAAGTTCGAAGAATTTCAAGAAGACCCATATAATCTACTTTCCCAGGAACCGGAAGTCAGCTTCATTTCTGCTTACACCTTTGAAACTCGACGACTGTCTTCCCGCATGTAAGTGCACATCCTCTCCATATATGCATGTCCCCCTATGTCAACTTGGCGATCAAAAAATAGTCTGCATCATGATCATATAGATGTGATCATTGGTTGTAAGAGCAAATATTTTGTCATTTTATCAAGATAGGTACAAGCATACTGTAAATTCTGCGGCAAATCCGGGCATATGCTTGCTCCTTATTCGAACGGCTTACTTAAAGCTTTAACAATGGCTAATGTTTGTCACACATATAGATAAAGATCATCTCTGTTCAAAGCGAGAGGTACCAATACAAACCAACAACCGACCCTTCGCAGGACATATAACCTCCTCAAAGGTCTTTATAGTCAGGAGTCAAAATAGCCAAAATGGCTGGCACGGGTGCGTCGAGCCCGTTTATCAAAGACGAGCCGGATGATCAATTCTTCTCCTCCCACAACCAAAGATTCATGTCGAACCCGCAAAGCTTCGGTCTAACCCAGACACATTTCAATCAGTTCGGCTCACACGGAGGCAGCATCAATCCCAATGACTTGAATGTTGCCAGCAATGGCATGTCCATACCAAATGGGGGATATGGGACCTCCTTCCAGAACAATTTTTCAAGTCAGCCCTCAAACCCAAGCGCAAGCTTCTCCAAGGGTATCTCAACTTTCGGTGACGACGAATTGCTGGATAGTCTAGACACCATAAATAATCCACACTCTAATCATGGTGGCATGCAAAACGGTCAAGATTTTGGTATGGAATTTGACTTCAACAACAATCATAACATGTACGGAGGAAACAACGGAAACGGCTTGGGTGTCGACCCGAATATGAATGGCTATTCAAATACCCCAGATGGAGATCCTATTCAAAGCCCCTTTGTTCACAACTTCAACCATGCCCAATTCAGACACATGCAAACGCAGCACAACTTTGGCTCATCACTTCACTCTCCCGCTTCATATGCAGGCTCCCCGTTGAGCGGTGCTGACTTGCACAATGGAGATAACAACTTTACCAAGCAGCAACGGCCAAGGTTGACTCAAGTGGGATCTGGAAGAAAAGCATCCAGCACTAGAAGTCCATTGACGCCGAAAACTCCTGCGATATCGTCTCTCAATATTGGATCAGCAGATCAATCAAACTTCCCGACTCAGCCAATACGTACTAATCATGTCCACCGACACCAAAAGACCTTGTCTGGGCAATGGGATCAGGCACCGAACAGTCTTGGCTCCTTTCCGGGTTCTGAGTTCGGTTCGCCTATTCAAGGGGTTCATCCAAACCCACAAATCTCCGACATTCTCAAAGGTACTTCAATGCCAACGAAACTCAACAATGGTCATGGATCAGCGAATGCACCAGGTTTGCAGTCACAAGAAATGAAGAGAAGACGCCGACGGGAATCACACAATCTTGTTGAGAGAAGAAGGCGGGATAATATCAATGAGCGCATTCAAGAATTGAGTCATCTTGTTCCCATGCATCGACTTGAGGACGAGAAAGTACGCAAAGCCATCATGAACAATTCTCCTTTGTCTCCGACCCTCACCGCTGTGTCACAACCACCGCCAAACGGGATGAGCCCTCCCCAAGCTACGTCGGGTCTTGCCGGTCCCGGTGCCAGGAGGGCCACAGGGAATATTACTACCGGTATTCCGATTGAGGAGAAAGACAAGGGACCAAACAAGGGTGATATTCTCAACGGTGCTGTAAGCTGGACCAGAGATCTAATGTGGATGTGTCACCACCAAGCTCAACAAATGGAAGATCTTGCCAATCTCATTGCCGAGTTAGGCGGAACATGGCCATATGAGAAAACTGAAGACGAGAAGCGCATGCATACTGAATTGATGGATGCTATGGCCAAGAATGGTGAGGCTAGTTTCGAATACACCCGACGCCCCGGCACGGGTTTGAGAGTGCCTAAACATACCGATTATAGGGGCGAACCAGACCGTGGCTCCAACTTTCCTCAGCTTGACAATTCTCTCAGTCCAGACAACCATAGCAGTACAGATGCTGGTCAAACTGGTATGGGTGGTGCAGGTCAATATTGGAGTGGCCACAACAGCGGAGGTAGTGGTCCTGGCTCTATTGGCGGCTTTAAAGAAGAAGATGAATACAACATGGATCTGGGTCAATGAAAAATTCGTTTTACTGGTTGGTGAGTAATTGGTCATCTGATTACGGGGAAATTTCATACGATTTTGAAGACAAAGCAACAAGAAGTTGTTACCAGTTTGCATGCACTCTCCGCTTCGCATCTGTGTCCTTACTTCGCTGGCGTTTTCATCTATGCATTTAATGGTAGTTACGGGGCTTGATCTGGCTTGGTGTTGCTTGCGGTTTGAATAATTGCTCGCAGAAGGCGAGTCAATCATATGGATGGAATATGGATACTAAGGGCTTTTTCAATTAGGGTTGGAATTTATAATTTGTTGGAGATGGACATTGGTTTTACTTGCATTGCATCAAACTTTCATTCGGATTTTGGTTTTATTTTATCTACTTGCATCGATGTTTGCGGTCTGGGCTCCTTCACATGATACCTGTGCATCGGGATACCGATGTTTGCTTTTTGTTTTTCCTTTCTTACTTTTACGACTGGATGGACAGGATCGAATCTGGGGCTCTCTTTCTGCTTTCAACTTGTTACCGATTTGCTTTCACCTGAAACCCCCGCACAACACCTTAGCTAGCTTAGTTTAGTACTCATCTTTTCTGCCCTTCTGGAAGATTAATTTTGAGAAATCATCCATGAGTTGCTTAACAACGAATGAAATATACGAAATGAACCCGACATTGCAACTTCGTACATTAGTCTTGGCGCAGTGCCAAGTTCCAAGACTTTATTTTTCCGTTGCTTCTTTACCACTCTACTTCATAGGGACCCGCTTCTTGAAACTTTGGGGTGCTAAGGGATGTGACGGGTGTGTTTCCCTGGGTAAGCTTCAGACGTAAGTGTGTATGTATGCATGCCTTTACGACCCACTCGCATGCTATCAAATGGTCCTGCAATATGCATTAGACCCCTTCAAGTTTGTTCCCCATGGAGGGGTAAGGAAAGTGGCCCAGGGTGGAGAATATATCGGGCATTGGTTGCTGGCTTTGCCTATATAGTCATGCATTTGCGGTATGGGAGAAGCGGAAATTTTGTAACCGAGGCTTATCTGAGAGGAGAGAAAATGAAATATGAGTACTAGTGGCGGGTTTTCAATAATGCTGGTGATGGGCATGATTGTGTTTTTTGGGGGTAAAACAGGCGGGCGGGTTGGTCTTTGGTGAGAGATATGTGAATGCTTTAGTTGTGGATTAAGATATGGGTATCTTGGGTAGGTTTTGGATGCGAAATTAGAGGAGCCAAAGCAAATACTTTTGAGGATAGTGGTTTCTGTAGTTTGTGATCTCAACAGTGGAATATGTTTAGTTTAGATTAGTATTTCTTGTGATCTCCTGATTCTCGCCAATGATAAGAGTTCTGGAAACTACTCATCTTACACTAAGCGAAATTGTATCAAAATTATAAAATTTTCATCTTTTTCAAATTTGATTTTGTATACTAAATATTAGAATATTTTATCAAATTTTTATATATTTTTATATATTTTTAAAATAATCTATTAAATGTTAATAAAAATAAAGTAAAAATATTTATTTTGAAATTAAAAATATTTAAAATAAAATAAATAAAGAATTAATTTATAAATAATTATTCTTTTATATTAAAATACTAGAGGCCTGCTGTTACAGATCTCGAATTATAAGAATGATTATATAATTCCTTTATTTATCAATAAATTAATAATCTATATATCTAGAATCTAATTTATTTATTTTAGTATAGGAATATAATGATTTTAAGATCGAATATATACCAAGGGCCTGCACCTCCCGGACCCTTGGCCTTTCAAGAAAGTCTAATAAAAATTTAAGTTTTAAAAAGTTTATAATAAATTTAAATATTGAATATATATTAGAGTACAGACAGAATATCGACTTGTTTTTGATAATTGAAAATTAAATTTTTTTTAAAAAATAATTATTATTATAAATATTATTATTATTATTATTATTTTGAATTAAATGGGATGAATTGAATAAATAAAATTGAATTGAGTGAATAGAATTGAATTGAATAAGTTCAATAAAGTTGAATGATTTTAAAATGATTTTAGATAAATCTGATTTAGAGCTTTTTTCAATTCAATTCAATTAAAGTTGTAAGATTCATATTAAAAATTTTGTTAAATTATTTATTGGGGTATTTACCAGAGTATTTTCGACCAATCAGATTGTCAGGATCGCGACTCATTTAAATGAATTTCTCATTCTCTATGATCTACATCAGGTAAATCTTGTGTATAATAAGATTATAATATCAGCAAGCCGACAATAATATAAATTATAAATTATAATTAATATAATTTATTATGAAAACTTTCTAAAATGATATAGAAAGTTTTGATTATTGATTATTTAAATAAAGATTATAAATAATAAAATTCTTTTTCAGAATTTTGAATAAAAAGACTTTGATTTTCTTTTATAAATTATAACTTTATATTATAAAGATTATTAAATTACAAATTAATTAAACTTATTGAAATAAATAAATTTGAGATCTTTATATAAAAAACAAAACTAATATTATTTAAAATATAAAATCTTTATATTTATTTATAAATCTATCTTTAATAATACTATTTTATAATTACCTTCTTAAAGTTTTAACAACTCTACTTTCGGAAATTCAATATTTCTGAAACTACCTTCATTTCGAAATCTACCTATCAATTATACAAGCCTTTCTCAATCGATATTTGTATCTAATAATTATCTGAATCGCTCAAATTTTTCATTTTCCCTTGAAACAGAATATATACATTTTGAAGATTTTAATAAAATTAAAATTATTGGAAAAAAAAAGAATATTATAATACCAACAACAATTTAAATTTTGAAATTATAAAGAAAGAATATTTAAATTCTATTTGTATTCTAAATATTATATAAAATATAAGATTTCTTGATTTAATAAAACTAAAAAAAAATTAGATTTTTTATATACCTTTTTAAAATAATTATATCTATAAATCAAAAATACTTATTAATTCGAAAATAAATAAATTTACTTTTATTAACAATATATTTCTTTTTATTTTTTAAATTTTTTAAATTCAAAATCATATTTCTTCAAATCTCAATTGAAATCAAAGATTATAATAATATACAAGATTATATTATTATATATTATATACTTCTTAATTTAATAATCGATAATTATAAATAATCATTTTTATTTTTTCTTATTATAAAATTAAATATTTATAATATCATCTTAGACAAATTTTGATTAATAAAGATTCAAACGAAATTAAATTGTTTTTATCGATATTTTAAATAGTTTATAAAACGATCTTATATAATTTCTTATTTAAATCTAATTTTTTATATCTAATCTTCTTTTTAAAAATAGAAAATCGATCGATTTGTGTTGGTATCACTTCGGTGATATTTATTGCAGTGCAATGGTATTCTTGTTGTGTTTTATTCATAGATGATTATTATTTATCTAGAGGAGAGAGATCTATTTATATTGAAGAGGTACAGTCTAGAATGTATTAGTTGTATGGCTGGCTTCCTTTCGAGGTTGATTATATAATGTATCGATATTAACAACTCTTTTTTTAAGGGGGTGAATTATATAATTAGTATTATAATTTCCTTATTATTCTTGTTCCATTTATTCTGTCATTTTAATATCAATAAAATCTGTAAATGTTTGATAAGGTCTATCCTTAATTATAATATTAGTTAGATTGGATTTACTATCAATTCATTGAATTTCAATTATTCTTCTTCGTTTGTATGATTGTTATAAAACTATAATATCAATCATCAATCTCTTTTCAATTGTAAAGTTTAATTTGATTAATAAATTATAAAGTGATTTAGAATCAATATAAATGATCAACAGTATTGGCTTTTTAGATATAAAGATAATATTGATTGTATTTTTTATTGTTGAAATTGTATCAAAATTGTATACTAAATTGTATAGTTTTGAAGTTAGTATATTATATATAACTCCTTTGTATTTGATTAAGGATTAATGAAGGATATTGATATTGTTGTTCTTATCGATCAATATAATTACAAATCCAATTTGTAATAAATGGTTTTTGTTGTTGGCAAACGATATATTGATGGAAATAATGAATTTTTAATAAATCTATATCAAGAGGGATGAATTTTAATTCTTTTTTTGGGTTATTTATTTGCTATTTAATTTGTTTATTGAATATTTTAATATCTTCTTCAATAAAATTAATTATCTAAATAACAATGAAGAAATTGTATAAGATTTTTAATTGATATATTATTATAATATATACTCTTTTAGCTCGTTAAGCAATATATTGATCCTTTGGAATAACCAACTTTCGAATTTTGTTTCGAGTTCCTTATATATCGATTAGTGTAGTTTTAATCAATTTGAGATTGTTGTATTGGTTTTTTCTAATTAAAATATATATTATTATTAATAAGTGAAAGGGGCTTGAAAGATAGTATTTGTAAATTGTTCTTGATCTTTTGTTAGAAACTTAGCTTTTTCGAATTGATTTTGTTCTATTTTTGTAAAGATAATATCTATTATGAAAAAGATATCATTTATTTGTATATTTATAATATTAAAATCAATATTTTTATTCTTTATATATAATAAACAAAAAATATATATTAATTGAATTATATTAAGTTTATTGATATAATATTTATAATAGATTCCAAATTATTGGTTTTCAGCTTTTGGTATATTATATAATAATTTGATAATATATGGAATTATATCCTCATTATATTCTATTTCGATTGATAATCGAATATATAATATAGAATAATCATCAAAGATTTGAGGTTATTTGAATATAAATTTGTATAATATTTTTTAAGTAGATCTTAGTTCTTATAACCTTTTTGAGATATATAATTAGGATTATTAGAATATATTGATTAATATATTGAATAATAAATGATTATATCAAAACAATAATTTTCTTTTGATTTTTGAAAACTTAAATTACGAATTGTGATTTGGAATATACTTTATTTGTTCTTTTGTTCTTTATCTCATCTACGAATTTAGAATTGAATATTCTGATCCTTTGTAATCTTTTATTTAAAAATACTGATTGAAAAACTTTATTTTTGAATAATCTATTGACCTTTAATTATTTAAATCTTTATTATTATAATTGACAAATAATTTGTTATATAGATCGATTTAATCAATTTGATCAATTTTTTGATAATAGATTATAATTTTAATATCAATATCGTTTATGAAAAGGATTTTATTATATAAATTGCTTTTTTATTTATTCTTTAATTATATACAAAATTCAATATTTGATAATAATATAACAATTCGAAATAAAATAACTTATAATATGATTTGATTGATTTGATCAATTCAGTTAAATTGATTATTTTGATCGTTTTGAACAATTTCCTTTTCTTATTAGTGAAAAGGCCTAATCATAATAAAACAAAATTTCGTTAATCTTTTTTCTAATTCAAATTCATAAGTTTCTTCTTTTATTATAATTATCTTATAAAATCTTTTTTATTATTTAGATGATATTCCTTTTCCTTCTCATCATATAAAAACCTCGAAATTGAAGAGTAAATTATAAATCATTATAATTAACAAACTATTTTATATATATTGAATATATCTCTTACTTATTTCTTTATTTATAACTTCTATATTTTATTTATTGCTTTTTTGATTATTTGAACTTTTTATACGA